GGGGACGTGTCTCAGCTCGGAGTCTTCTGTACCGACCCCATCCCCAAAGGAGTCCGCTTCGGCCCTTTCCAAGGCAAAGTGGTCAACACGAGCGAGATCAAGACTTACGACGACAACTCGCTGATGTGGGAGGTAGCGGAGGCACCGTCGGGCTCACCCCGCACCCCCAGTGCGGGGCCGGGGCGAGGCTCTCGGCGTCCCCTCTACCGTAGCCTGGAAGAGGGGCTCGGCCCAGTGTGGGTGGTGGGACTGGTGAGAGCGGGACGAGTGCGGAAAGGTCGGTCAAACCTGATCCTTTTCTCTCTGCTCCCCAGATCTTTGAATACGGTGGCCTGAGCCACTTTATAGACGGGAAGGGCGCCGCTGGCAATTGGATGTCCCTTGTGAACTGTGCCAGGTTCCCCGAGGAGCAGAATTTGACGGCTATCCAGTGCCAGGGACAAATCTTCTACGAGAGCTGCAAGGAAATCTTCCCGAAGCAGGAGCTGCTGGTGTGGTACGGCGATTGCTACGTGCAGTTTCTGGGCATCCCCATCAGCTTGAAGGGCATGGCAGAGGGGAAGAAACCCTCGCAGCACCCCGAAGGTGAGCCTGCCAGCAACCCCTAGGGTGACACTGCCCCTTATTCCCACGGACCTGTGCGTGGCCTGGATTAGATTCACACGAAGAGAGGTAAAGAAACACGGGCATCGCCTTTGTCCAGCTGTTTTATTTGAAAGGCTTTCCCAGACCTTGCGACGAGGCTGTGGTAGGTGACCGGTCTTGCCGCGGTGGCGGTGGCCCCGCAGCCCCGGTCCCTCGGGTCTGCGGGTCTCCTCCTCGGGGGAGCCGGTCCCCGGCCGCCCCCTCCTGCGGCATCCAGCACCCCGAAACAGCAGCTTCCCCTCGGCACCGGCGAGTCCGGGGCTTGCACCGAGGGCTGCCGGCAGCGCGGAGCAAGAGGCTCCCCGTTCTTCCGCCGGCAGTCCGCTCCCTGTCCGCGGTTCCTCGGAGAGTTTAAAGCGTTCTTTGGTCTGGTAACCAGTGTCAAACATCTGGCGGTCGTGGGCTGAGCTCGGCCTCGCAGCACTATCGTTCAGGGTCCCGTTTTTGGAGGAGGTGGGCTTTTCTGGGTTATTCCACTTTTGGTCCTGTTTCATCTTGATTGCACAGCTGACTTTCGTGTAATTAACGCTCTCAGTAAATGAGGTAGGCTGAAGTCGTTCCGATCCCGTAATGCTAATATTGTTTGCAAAAGAAATGTCAAACGCACTTACGCCAGGGCGAGGGGAGGGGAGTTCTAGCTGTAATGTGCAAAAAGTATGATGTTCTTATAAGCAAAACTTATGTGTGGAGAAAACAGATTTGTGCCAATGAGGGAAGAGCTGGAGCCGGGAAAGAATGGGTCGGCCGGGTTCAGCAGAAAGGGAGAGAAGCAAATTGACATGAAAATTTGGCATGAAAAATTTTGTACCTGTTGTCTTGAAGTGTCTTAATTCAGACAGATACTAAATTGTTCATTTCATATTAAAGCTTAAGCTAAAGTTACTTTTTATTAAAGACAGAAAAGGATATATAAACGTCTGAAATTTTTCTGGTGTTTTTCCTAAATTCAGTGGTTAAAAATGAATTTAAATACAAAAAAAAAAAAAAAAGCCAAATAAATGTGTTATTTTGTTTGACAGTTATTTGAAAACTATAGAAAATGTATGCAAAATCATTTTTCCTTTTGGGAAGGTAGATGAAATTTGCGGATAATTCTTGATGAGAAATATCTCAGAATAGTACCACATATGGAGAAGTTTTAATGTGAGATTCTGAGTTGTTTTTTCACATGTTTTCTTGCTATTTATGGATAAACAAGGATGAAATCCTGTTTTTGCTGAAGTTGGTAGCTAAACTGAATAATTTTGGCAGATCGTGGGCTCTAGTTTGTTCCCCTCCTTTAAAAAGGCAAGGGGAGCACTGCGAACGCTCGGGAGACTCAAGCACGTATTTTATTAATGATACTGCCAGCATCCGTTTACAGTCCTTGCCCTCCTAGAGACTTAAAATCCCCCGTAGGGGTCCCAGCTCTGACAAGGATGCAGACTTGATCCGAATACCTTTTGCCGTGGTGTAACGCAGAGGTGGCACTTTCCCTTCTGCTGTACAGAAGCCGGGGAGAGCTTCAAGTGTGAGCGCTGCGGCAAAGTTTTTGCCTACAAGTACTACCGGGACAAACACCTCAAGTACACCCGCTGCGTGGACCAGGGGGACCGCAAATTTCCTTGTCACCTTTGTGACCGGTCCTTTGAAAAAAGAGACAGGCTGAGGATCCATATTCTCCACGTTCACGAAAAGCACAGACCTCACAAGGTGAGCCTGCTCCCGGGTGTCTCCTCAGTCACTGGCTCTTCTGAGGGTATTTAATAAAAAGTTTGGTGGTTTTTTTTTTTTTTTTTGGTCCAGATAAGATGCTGATAGTGTTCCTCCTCCTCCCCGTTTCCCTGGCACTTTTCTGGTGGGACTGCTCAGGAAGAGCTTGTCATTTGCAGCAAAGCTTGCTTAAAGAAATTTAATGGATTTAGGTTGGGAAAATAAACCCCATCGTCTCAGTGAGAGTTAAAAAAGAAAATTTCTCCTGGGCTTTTTGTATGTTAGCATATGAATGCTGCTCCTTTTCTTACACAGTGTGTAAGTGGGGTTAACTTGTGTTCAAAGGTGCTTGACTTTGTCCAGGATGAGGAGAGAGATGTTTCATGTCTTGTTTCCTACACCACACCCTTCGCTCTGAGAACCAACCACAGCTTTATCCGTGTCTGTTGGACCAAACAGGGCTTAAAAGTTTTACATTCGGTGTGAAGCAGATGTTCTATTGATGAAAGCAAATCTTGGAGATGCTTTACTCATCTCCACCAAAAACCTTGCCCTTAGCACCAGTTTTCTCTAGCAGCACTGGAAGTGGAGAATCAGACTTTTCCTAAAAGCTTGGGAAGGGCAAGTTCTAGTGTTTGAAATGGTACAGTTAAATCAGTCCTCAAAATTCTCCAAATACCTCTTTTATGGATCATCCTACAATGGGTATTTTTTTTCAGAAAAATATTTTGTAACTAAAACGGCACTACTATGATGTCAAAATATCTGCATGGAATTAGTAACAGATTAAAAATGAAGTTACTATATTTAATTATATTTAATACCTCATTAAATATGAGGTATTAAATACTATTTAATTACTTTTATAATTTCCCTTAACTTCCCTTGGGAAGGTAAGATTATTTTATTCTTTAAATAGTTTATCTTTAATGGGGAAAATTAACACTTATTATAAATATATATATCATTAAATATATTTTTATATACAATTGATTTTTATATTTTTTAAGTGACTTTACAGAAATTTTCAGATTTTTATTACTGCAAACCAGTATTGTCTGTTCTAAAAAATAACATTTTTTTATTGAAACAATTTTAACAGAAATTATTTGAAATTTTGCATGGTTTTAATATATATACATTTGTATATATACACACACATATGCAGGTAAATCTGTTCTTAAAACTGGACAAAACTTCTGGGTATTTCAATTCATTGCAGCTTAAAATTATTGTTTTGTTTACGCATTAATACATAAATACACGTGTACATCTAGGTTATACATAAGAAATCATCCACATACTTATTTTTTCCTTTTAACTATGCAACTACATGTTTCCTTTTACCTTTATTCCTTTTTTTTCCCCACAGTGCTCTGTGTGTGGGAAGAGCTTTTCTCAATCCTCCAGCCTGAACAAACACATGAGGGTTCACTCTGGGGAGCGCCCCTACAAATGTGTCTACTGCAACAAGGTAAGGCAAAGCCCTGCCCCTTCCCTCCCTCTGCTGGGCTGTGTTTCTTCTCTGTTTTCTTTCAAGAAAATTTTGTATTAAACTGGTAACCAGATAGATGCCTATCCAGATAGATGTATATTCTGGGCATTTGTGAGGTAAGGTGACACAGCTGGATGAGACTGAAGAAACAGGGTCTGGTCTCCATCTGATATGGAATTTGTGGTTTGTCCCAGCTCAATGATCTGCTGCAGAAATGAGGTCTAGGGAAGCTTGAGAGCGTTTCAAATACCATCCAAAGCTAGATCCAGTACCCCACTTGTTTATCAGATAGGTAATTTTTGGTGTAATTTACACTGCTTCTGGACTGCAATAAAGAGATTTGGTCTATAAACTGAACCTGCACAACAGTAATTTGTGCATGCTTCCCTTGAAATATCAGGGCTGTTGATGGGCAGATGGGCATGGAGGTTTCACTTAAAAAACAAAGAGAACCATACAGCCCTGATCAAAGATGTGCTCTGCTGTTACTGCCCATCACAGCAGGGATGATTCAGGTGAGCTCTCCCTTTGAAAGTGCTAACAGCTTTCTCAGCAGACAGCATGTGGATGCACAGGCGCTGGAGGATGAATACTGGTAGGGCTCCAGGTGCCATGAAGTGTCCATGCAATGCAGAAGCCCCATCAGCAGTGGTAACCTGCTCCTGATTTTGTAGAGAAGTTTTGTTTATGACTGGCTGGACTAACACAAAGCTGAAGAGTCCTGCTGTAAAGAATCTTGGAGGAAACTCTTTTTGGCTGTTATTTCTTTGTCTCCCCATGATCCTGAACATACTTGTACACAGAGATTAGGATGAAATATCATCCTTAGTCTTCTGATCACAAAAGGAGGTGGCAGAGCTTTATAGGTTGTTCTGTAAAGACATCTCTAAGGACACTTGACCACTCCCCAGCCAGTTCTGGTTGGACTGTTGCAGATTGGATCAGAATAAACTATTAGTCCTCAGGCTGCAGGATGTAGCTATCCTAGGACATAGCCATAATTTCTGAGGCTGGAAAACTAGGATCTGTTTTAATGAATCCTTACCATCTCCTCCTATGCAATTACGATTCTTCTTTTCCTCTTCTGCCTCTAACAGTGGCTTTACTTTTTCAGCTCCTTTGCTGGAAATCAGTGGTCACTTATTTCAGGAACATTGTGAGATTAAAGGAACGGTGCTGGGTCAACACCACCATTCTCTTCCCAAAACATATTTTTGTCCTTGATATGCACCTCCAAGGACTTATGTATAGCAGTCTATGATCTTTTTGCGCTCTTAAGATTCCTAGTGAAAGGGTATCTAAGATGTACTGCTGTTTGCTGTGAAGACTAACTAGAGAGTATTTATTTTGTGTGGTCTGCAAATAGCGAAGGGCCTGAAATTGTCTCTCTTTGGAGAAGAAAAAATGGGGAAAACATGGGCAACTTTACAGCATTCCTGTTCAAATTTTAATGAGGGAGTTTTATCCCCAAATGGAGAAGTCTTTATGACTGGTTCTCAAATGTGTTAGTGGTGGGGGAACAGCCTGGAAACTCTGCCTGCAGAAACAGAAATGTATGATGCAGCAGAGAAAATGAACTTTGTAAATGAGGTATGGTGGACTGCATGAATGAATTTTAGCAGCTGAATCCCAAGACAGTCAAAGGGTTTTAACTTTAAAAACAAAATCTGGAAGGAAAGCCTGCATTATGTTTCCAAAACATAAAGGAGCTGCAAAGCTAATTAGGACAGTATTGATGTCTTCCCTCTGACACATAGAAGATATTTACGGGTGTCTTTGGTCAGGAATCTTTCTCTGAGCTTCATCTATCTCCATGGACTCAGCCACATCTGTATAGCAATAGATGTTGCCTTCTGATTCCTCATTGCTGGGGGTTTTCATTTGTTTTTTCCACTTAACTGAGGATGTGAGCTATTTCAGGACTTAATTTTCAAGGTAACGTGGTTCTGATGGGGTCTGGGTTAGCTGAAGGTGGGGATTGCATGTGTGAAAGCAAATTACTTGCAACTCCATCTCCTTTCCGATGATCCCTGCCCTTTCAGGCGTTCACAGCATCCAGCATCCTGCGCACTCACATCCGCCAGCACTCGGGGGAGAAGCCCTTCAAGTGCAAGCACTGCGGCAAAGCCTTCGCCTCGCACGCGGCCCACGACAGCCACGTGCGGCGCACACACAGCAAGGACAAGGGCTGCACGTGCTCCGTGTGTGGCCAGCACTTCCCCGAGCAGGAGGATTACAACTTCCACATGAAGATTCATGCTGCTCATTAGTCAGGAACCCCGTGGACGTGTCCTGGACCAGCTCGTGTGTCTGTCGGTCTATGTGATCTGCTTGTGCGTGTGCGCAGCGCAGCAGGCGACACCTGCAGTGGTTCTTGGAGTAGGTCTGGTCTCCGCTCCCAGGGCACATGACTGAGCACAGGAACAGGGTGCACCCTGATGCTACTCTCCCTCTCCTCCCTCCTAATCTCTAAAGGGAGGAAGGAGTTCTACCTCCCAAAACCCCTTTGTGCATAAATATCACTGTGAGGCGTGTTTCTCCATCTCTAATGCCTGTGAACTGCTTGGTGCAGCCTGTATCAAAGCTTGTGTGAGGGATGTTTTTATCAGGTGCATTTCTCAGAGCTGATTTAACTTGTTCATGTTGTTTGGACATGTGACCACAGGTAATATGGTCTACTTACCCTTAACACGTGTTTTAGTGATGTTCTTTTTAAATGTGAACTTCCTCAGAGATACTGACGGCTGGACCGACAGAGAGCTATTTTAAATCATTCAGCTGCTGGGAGACTGAGAGCTCCAGGGCTCAGACTTGAGGACTGTGAGCAACTCTTCCAGAGGGTGCTGGATGCTGGTCAGCCCAGAAGGGAGAGAAGTGGGGTGTGGTAAGATATATGCAGGCCTGATATCCCAGCTAGCAGAGATAGTGGAGGTTTGTTTTGTCTTCTCAAGTGTTTGGAGGACCAAACACTGTGATATTCCTAAGTATCGGTGAGTCATTGGGTGGATAACAAGCAGTTAAGTGGCCTCAGAGGTGTTTCATTGTGGGCTCAGAACAGACAGACAGGAGCAAGCACAATCCCAGAAGTGGGCTCTCCTTTCTGAATCTCCCTGAACCCGTCTGGTCCTGGCCAGGTGAATCTTTGCAGTAAACCCTAATCTGAAGAGTGTGCTCCTCTGCTTCCTCCTGTATTTGTGTTGGATGACTGTTACAGTGGTACTCCCTTCCTTTGCTCAAAAGATAAGATTTTAAGTATCAAATAAGTGATATTAGGACTCCTCAGTGCCTAAAACTCTGCACAAGAAATTCCTTCCTCAATCTGCAGGAAAGACTTTTCTTCCATGGGAGGGACTGGAAGGTGTCATTCATTCTCCCTGTCTCACTGACCATACAAGCAAAGCAGGAGTGATTTGTGCAGGTTTATGTACTTTCAAAATTGTTAAGCGTTCTTAAGAAAGTGGCATTCCATATCAATGTGAAATCTTAACTAGGGGGCTTAACAAAAAAAGCCTGTGCTGAAGGGCTGCTGAGGATAGGGAGTGCTGTAATTGGTATAGCACTAAGTGACCACCACGACTATGAGAGGAGTCAGTGTGTCAGTGGGACTGTGTGGTGCATCCAGGAGGAATAATGGAACTAGCTCCTTTCTTGAGCTAGTTGATAAACACAGGTAGTTCAGTATTACTGGGATGATAAAATTATCTTTGAAGTATCCTAGATCAGCCACAATTAACAAGAATTTTGCACATAAAAAAGGAAGTTTTTATTTTGTGCCGACTTGTCATGGGGTTTAAACCACTTGTTGTTTAAAACCATGACACGACTTTAACGGTCTCTTTAAATGCAGCATAGAAATAGAAAAAAGAAATTTTGCTTGTACATTTAGTTATACTGTGTAGATACTGTATCCTTAAATATATTGATTTGCACTATTTTTTGTAAGTTTGTTTGTATCTTAAGTTGCTCTGTTTTCATTGTTTTCATGGTAGAAATATTTTTTAGAGATTTATTGAGTCACTGGTAAAGAAAATAATGAGTCCCAGCACTAGGCAGTATCTGAAACAAGCAAGTCTATTTGTATTGTATGGTTTTTTTAACATGTAGTGTCTAGGGCAGAATAAAAATCATGCTCTGGTTATTGTTTTTTTTTTCTTATTTTAATACCAAATATTACTAAAATACAGCAGGCTAATTTTTTTACATATTGAGGGCTGAATCCCTGACCCCTAAATAGATAAAATTCACTTCTGAGCAGAAAATTATCACAGTACTTTTCTTCCAGCTGCCTGCTGTTAGGAGGACAGATACAAGCATACAAAATCCTGGCCAACAGAAACAAGAATTATGTGTGTGAAGCCTTTGTTAGTTTGGTCCCTTACAAAAAAAAAATCAGGATTTGGTGACATAAACTACCTACTAATGAAGAAGATATTATGACTAGGACTGGCTTTGAAGTACTGTGAAATGCCTGGTTAGCTTCCCATACAGGTCTTTTTTTGCTCAGAATGAAGGTTTTATATTTAAATGGTGCCTCTGTAGAGCTCTTATGTGCATTTTCTTTTTCTTAAAGAAACCTCAAATGTCTTGTGCTAAATTATTTGCACCTTTCTATAATATTTGACTTGTTGCCTGTAAAGGAGTATGTGAAGGGTTATACTTGTACTTGTGACTGAAGGTACTGGCTGTCTTGCACATTAAAACCATACATGTAAATTTTGATGCTAATTATTGTGCAGAAAACCATGCTATGAAAAGCCAATGTCCATCAAGGAGACAGAAGAGTCCTGGAACTTTATTTGAATAAAGGGAGGGAGAGTCCACTGGAGTTTCTGAAGACTCAGCCTCCTTTTATCCTAAACTCTCAGCCACATATTGCCCTCTTCCCTTCTCCATTGGCTGAGGAACAGCCTTCCCAAACTGCCTTGAACATGTCATTTTCTCACAAAGTTCAGAAGCTAAAACTATCTAGGTTCTGCAACAGCCTTTTCCCAGGCCCATTTTTATATTACCATGAAGTTAAAGAGTTTAAGCTGTAGTCAAACTGTCTGGGTTCTGTAACACATGACAGTGTGTAACATTGCAGCTTGAGGTTGCCCTAAATAAAGACCCTCACCCATCGAGTTGTTTGTAAAGACATTAGCACCCATCTTTCCTGTTATTAATATTGTTATACTTAACATTCATGAAAATAAATTTTTGGAGGCTACAGTGCACGCTAATGGGCTATGGCTTGTTTTCTGCCAGATGCATAGAGTTGTGCATTTGAGGTACCAGCAAATGCATCAAGGGTGTTTTCTGTGTCATATGTAAGCTATTACACTCAAACTGTTGCATATTGGGATTTCTAGCCCTTGTCCCACTGAGTAGTAGCCAATTGCACTAGAAGTCAAAGGCATCCAGTGTCTTGATGGATTTGATATTAAGCACCCCAACAGTTCATGAAAGCTGAGGCCATTCAGTTCTGGATTGAGTTCACTCCCACTTGCAAGCAAGATGATGGATCCAGATTGAGCACTAAAAAGAATTAAACTACCTTGTAGCACATAGGCCCTATAGAGTCATCCACCCCTTATGAATAGTGAGTCCCAGCTGTGCTGGGGCTGGGGACAGTGAGGATGGCACTTGGCTCTGCACACTTCACAGCAGGGTGGGGAGAAATTGATCAGGAAGGGAGGTCAAGCTGAGCCACCTGCCAGATCAAGATTTTAGTTTTTAGTTTCCTGAAATGAAAATGCACTAATTGTCAGAGCAAACAGATTGCTGTTCTTGCCAGATAGGGGTTAGGAGAAATTAGGAAATTTCTCCTGTAGTGACCTGTACCCTGTATGTCCAGTGAGCTGAGGTTTTCCTCCCCCTAGATTTGGACATTTACTTTCACCTTTTGTGGCTGTGCTCTCAGCAGCTGAGTGAATGTGCAACTCCAGCCAGCTCAGCCAGCAGTGGGGTTTTGGATATTTTTAAGCACAGCTAAGAAGGGGGCAGACAGAGGGAACTTGTGTGCATGCTGCATTTTTATCTGGCATGTTCCCAGAATGACTGCTACAGAATGGCACAGAAGGACATGTGCAAGAAGGAGGCTGCACTACAAGTTCAGCAGAAAAGAAAATATTTGTGACAATGTGTAAAGGCTCAGTCCTTGTGCTGACCAGCCCAGGCTGAGCAGGCACTGTGATGCTCCATACTCCTGCAGCCGTTTCTGAGCTGAGGCAGCAGGAAGAACATCCCTACAGTTCTCTGGGGGCTGGGCTGTGGCTTTCGCTGTACAAAATCCATCTTTTCCATTTCTTGGCATCTTCAAACATAGGATTGAAGTGACTTTTCCATGATAGTAACTACAGTAATACACTATGTGCAATAGGTACCCATGTTTCTCATTCAGTTTGGCTTAAACTGGCTTTGAGGTGATGTTCCTGTCTGGGGTCACATTGTCACTGCATTCATTAAGGCAAAGAATGTGCGTTCACCCTGGCTCTTCTTCCCTTAACTAGGATTAAAAATGATCCTGCCAAGGGGAGCAGCAAGACAAGTCCCTGGGACTAATCAGTCCTGTAAGACACTAGCTGATTTTAAGTGTTCTGGATTAACTCTGTCAGAGCTTTTTAAATGTTAATAGAAAGTGATCTAAATAGAAACCAGAGTATGAGGGCAATCAACTGTTTTGTTGGAGCAGAGGGGTGCAGGGAGAGAGACTGTGAGGCTAACTCCTGAATTGCTCCTCCAGGATAAATGACAAAGGGGAGACAAAAAAAAAGGTGGTCCCAGAGCTCAGGCTTGCAAGTGAGAGAAAACAAAAGGCCTCGCCACCGACATCTGCTGCCTCTAGCATCTCCTGCATATCCCTGTTTTTCAAACACCTGGTCCCCAGCCCCTGCTGTCCCAGTCCCTGCTCTGCTGCTCACTCTGGAGAACAGGGAGGTGGTTAACCAGTGAAGGAAGGTGAAAAGCAGCAAGGAGCTTAGTGAATTGAAGACAATGCCACAAACAAATATAGGTCAGTGCCAAACTGTCCATTAAACAAGACAGATCATACACCACCAGAGGAGACCTGACTGGCTGTCGCCTGGCTGTCGCCTTCTTAAGAAAGCCATTCCTTGGGTCCCCAGTCTCCTACAGGCCTTCACAGCAAGTGCAGGTGTTTGTTTCAACCCTACAGACACAGTCACCAGCACTTTGATTTCCCTTTCTCTCCTGATACACGTGCCCTTGCACACTCTCCCTTCTGTCTCTCCTTAACACACTTAGTGCAGGGCCTTGGGCACATGAGCACTGTGAGGCTCTGTCTTTGCTCTCTTTTTTTGTTCTTTTTCAGTCTTAGGTAAAATATGTCCAGACTTCCAGTCTGCATTTTTATGCTTCATGAAGCTTTAAAGAGGCTTCATTTCAACCACTGAACGACTTTTCTGAAAACCCAGTCCCCTCAAAGGTTCCTGGGGCTGGGTGTTGACTACTGGGGCTACTAGAGGAGTAACAGCACCTCTGCCTCTCCTGCAGCAGGACTTGAGTGACTCTATTCCTTCTCCATCCCCAGCCAGCCACTCTGCATCAGCCTTGCTTAGGGGCTGTCCTGAAACCCCAGCTTATCCCCACTGCAGCACTAACAAACCAGACTTGAACTCACAGGACTAACCTCTGGCTGTAGTACTGTATAGAGTAGTAGTAGTAGTGTAGAGAGCACTTCTGAATGCTTTAGTGTGAGAATGCCACACAGTCCTGCAAACTGCAGCTTTATCAGCCTGCAAAGCAGCAGTGAGAAAATACAATCCTCCTACTTTGACATCCAGGGACTTGAGCAGAGCCAGTAGGAGATACCTTAGTCATGAACAGAAATGCAGGAGCAGTGAAGACATCCACTGGGAATGAAGGAAGGAGAAAGGGATGATTACTTGGATTATATTGGCCAAAAAGTGCAATTCACAGATAATCCCTGAAGCGAAATCACGCTGTGAGGCCCACGCTTCCTGGAGTGTAAGGCTGTCCATCCTCTAGCTAAATCGAAGTGGGGTCAGCAGCACTCCCTCAG